ATCATTTATGACATCTGAAAACCCCAAAACCCCAAAACCCCGTGAGCTCAAATTTACATATCTAAATTACTTCGAAAACTATATAATAAAATGTCATAGTAAATTAATTAGGATGAGTATTCAGATGTCATAAATGATTCAAGATTTTAGTAGATGTAGATCATGGATTCAAGGATCGATTAGTACTCAGCGATTATGGAAAATAGGACAGATAATAATAACCCTGAAAATAGAAGCTAGTCTTAAACACCTGAAATAATAGCACTGAGGGAAAGTTAATATCGATAGTCTCAGCTATTAAAATCGTAGGTGAAATCTCCGATTCATGAACAGAGAATAAGCAATTAGAATCTGCAAGAATTCATGAGAAAGACGGAGACTGATAAAAATTAAAGCTTCAGAGAATCTAAAACGAACACTGATAATACTGCAATAGTGACTGGCAATGAGCTTGATAAATTTTACTTTAGCGTGGATAAATTCAAAAATGAAACTAGGAATGGGAGAAACTCACCTTCTACAGATGAAGTCAAAATAAAAACAGACCGTGATGAGAGCGAGAGTTTCGTTAATATAAATGGGAAGTAAAGTTCTTCAATGATGAGCAATGCTTCAAATCATCAATCGCCAGAATTGCAAAAACCTTAGATTATCTAGGAGAATAGGATCAGCACTGAATACCCTTCAATGCATTAAAAGGTAGGCGAATAAAATTAACAGGAAACATTATTAGAAAAGCATCCAGATACATCTCCAAGAAAAATGCCTCCTATAAGGTTGGAACCTGATTAACTAAAAGCTTCAATGGTCATACCATAATTAAGTTTATAACTTTAGTAAACTGAGGATGGAGAGGCATTTGAGTACGGATCAAATACTTAAAGAGTTATTAATCTAGAAAAAAAGTTTGGAGGTTATAGAATGATAAGCCAGCTATTTAAATATGAAGATTTAAGACTAATGGTTGACTTTTAGATTCTCAAATTTAAAGATGCAATCTTCAGAGGTCAAATTAAGAATGGGGAGAGAAGAGAAGGACTAGGAGTTATGTTATACGATAACGGTAGAACATATGAGGGGTAATGGCAGAATGACAGAAGACATGGTCAAGGATTTGAAAAATATAGTAACTTAAATACTTATGAGGGCGAGTTTGTAAGAGGTAAAGCGAATGGCAAAGGTATCTATAAGTGGAAAAATGGTGAGATTTATGAAGGAGATTGGCTGAATGGATAAAAAGAAGGAAAAGGATTTTGGAGAAGTAAAATATATAAGTTGAATTTACAATTTTAGACACATTTGGAGAAAGTTATGAGGGAGATTGGAGAGATAATAAAGCTAATGGATATGGAGTTCATCATTGGAGTACAGGAGAAAAATATGAAGGTGATTGGTTCGATTTCTTAAAGCATGGCTTTGGAACAGATTACTTTGCTAATGGAGATCGTTACACTGGCCAATATAGATACGGTAAGCCATGGGGAAGAGGTAAATACACTTGGTCTTCAGGAGCTACATATGAAGGAGATTTTGAGGATGGACATAAACATGGTAAAGGAAAATGGGAAAAAAAGCAAGTAATGAACAATGAGCAGACTGGGGCTGAAACTATCATTCATGTTTATTATGAGGGAGAATACAAGAATGATGTCAAAGAGGGATATGGATAATACAAATGGGCTTCTGGAAACTATTATAAAGGTTACTACAAAAATGATAAGCGACATTTTTACGGAGAAATGTATTGGAATGATGGTAGTATATACAAGGGTGAATGGTGTGATGGAGTCTAGCATGGCTACGGAAAAATGATATTTGCTACTGGAGAGGTGAAAGAAGGATTCTTTGACAATGGGGTTTTCAAATTTGAAGGTAATGAACTATAAATAAAATAATACATGAAGATTAATAACATCAAAACAAGTGCATCTGAATAAAGTAAAGAAACCTCCTATAAATAGTCAAACAATACAACTAGCAAGAAAAATGTTTAGTTTTAAGGTGGAGACGCTAATGATACCAGCTTTGTCAGTCAAAATAAAATAAGACTTGGCAAAAGAAGCAGCGTCGTTAGTTAAATGAAAGGAAGTTAGGCGAATCAAGCTAGTAACTTCAATATAAATTTGAAATCAAACAAAAAATAGTTAAACCCCATTAATCAAAATAATAATTACAATCATAATCAGTAAAGATTAAGGAAAAATGAGTCAGTCCCATCTTTGCATAGAAATCCAAAGGATCTTATTAATGATTTTAACTCTCCCACTTCTGTTGGAATGTCTGATAGCTATTTGCAAGAAGGAGATTATAATCCTAACAAGAAATTCTTTGCCAAAGATATGAGGAGATAAGGGAAATCTTTAACAAATGATAAATAACCTCCAAGTAGCTAGATTATCCGAAAAAAACCAGAAAGTAATGGAAATAACAACAATTTCGGATTGTCTCATATTTCGGAAATTTCTTAAGAAGAAAATACTTTTACAGGCTAAAAAAAGTAGATTCATTTAAACAAATTAAACAAGGTTGCCAGCGAATAGTTTTTGCCAAGTATTGAAAACAGATATATCAACAAACATTAAATTAATGGGAAATAAGCAAGGACCAACTTATCTCACAGTAATGATTATTATGAGATGGGATAGCCCTAAGTTGTCATTAAGAATCAGAGATTCAACAATAATTTCATGATGCCAATGAGGACTAATACATCATAAAGTTAACTTAGAGATATTCCTTAACCTATAATGCATAGACCTTGGATACCATCTGGTATTATATAGAGAAATGATGGTGTATATGTAAAACCTTAAGGCACTTATAATAATCCTATAATCTGAATAGAAGATGGTATAAACTATTTATTCTAATAATTCCTGATCCTGCATAACTTTTATTTATGTATATGGGGTTTTGGGGTTTTGGGGTTTTGGGGTTTTGGGG